CTAATTCTATACACGAGTCAAAAAAAATAATAAAAATAAAAATTGACTTTAAAATGGAAGAAGCATATCTATTATTCCATTTTAGTTAGGAAAAAAAGCAGAGCACCTTTTAGCAAATGTTTGTGTCTCCTACCAGCTAATAGGACTTCTTCTCTCAACATTTTGCTATGAAGGCTAGATTGGTGGAAGTGGATTCCTTATAATTGTCCCGTCAACAAGTTATTTTGTCAGGTCCAAGTAATCTAACTCCCATCGGATCATTGTACCAAGTTTGTTTGCTGTGTCTCTGCAGAGGTCGACATAGCCAAGATGGAGACCATCAATGCTCTTGCCTCCCCTAAACCCCAACCAAAGAAAGCACGAGTCAGGAAACCACGAGCTAAACCCGTACCCAAAGCTGAACCTCCTGTCCAGCAAACAGGGGAGACGAAGGGACAGATGGGAAAGGATGAGAAGGAAGTTGCGACACAGACGCCGCGAAAGGAGAATATGGAAAAGAAGAAGGGACACAAAGAAGAACATACTGCACATGTTGCCACCCCAAGTACAGTGACCCATAGTAAAAAAGTAAAAAATGTAAGGGGGCAGGTTTCATCCACACTTCCAGCTGAAAAACAAAGACCGTTAGACGAAATATTAGTCCCTGAGGGGGAAAAAACAGACGAGGAGGCACCTGAGCCCAAGAGAAAAAAGAAGAAGAAAAAGGAAAAGGAGGGAAATGAGGACAAGACAGACGGGATACTTGATGAGACAAATTGTGATAAAAAAGACGAAGAGATGAAGCCAAAGAACGCAGGTGAAACTACTGAGCTGAAAACAGAGGAAAAAAAGATCCTGACTGAGGAAGGAAAAAACAGTAATAAGAGTGAGAATGTTTCCCAGTTAGTTTTACAGAAAAAGAAATTGAAGAAGAAGGAAAAAGAGAAATCCACAAGAGATGAAAATGTAGATCAAATAGATAAAAAGTCCAAGAAAAAGGAATATGATGGGAATTTAGAACTGCAAGCTGAAGAAATAAATCAAAATACAAATACAGCTGGAAGCGACACAAGATCCGAGCAGGAGGTTCAGGATAAAAAGGCTAAGAAAAAAAAAGAAAAGAAACATAAGGAGGGAAATGTAGAGCATGCACCTCCGGCAGAAGAAAGAAATGTAGAGCTTAATGTTGAAGAAAAAGACAATTTAGAGCAAATTACTAAGAAAAAGAAGGAAAAGAGGAAAACTGCTAATGTAACCGAATTACATGATAATAAAGAAAAAAAGCAAAGGGTGGATGATAATGAAGGGAATTTAGATAAAGTGAATGAGGATATAAAAGCAGAGACAGAGAAAAACTTAGACACAAGTGAAATTCAAAGCGACAAGGAATCGGAGCAGAATGTTCAGAGAAAGAGAAAAAAGAAAAAGAAAGAAAGAACTGATCTGGAAAGAAATGAAGAGCATGTAACTGTCCCAGAGGAAGAAAATAATGAACAAAAAGTTGAAGAAAACAGAAATTCAGAGCAAATTGGTGAGAAAAAGAAAGCAAAGAAGAGAAAAGACTCTGTTGGCTGTAGGGAAATCCCAGAGGAAGGAGTGGGAGAGCAAAAAAACAAAAAAAAGAAGGCCGATAAAGAACATTCACAGCAGACGGTTCAAGAAGAGAAGACAGAGGATGAAGTTGGGCTTACTGACAATAAATCTACATCGGAAACTGGTGAGCAGAGCCTGGAAACCACAAGTCATCCAAAAAAGAAGAAAAGTAAGTCAGTGGCTTCATGTAATCACAGCTGTCTGAAGTTTTTCTGAGTTTGCTTACCATTGTGTCATTCTTTCAGAAAAAAGCAAAATAAAATCAGATGAGGTCCCAGAAGACATTGAAAATTCTACACTGGATATCTCAACTTTAGAAACGAACTCGGATGGCGTCCACAAAAAGGTACGTAAACATCCAAGATTAGCTCTTTGATAAAGTCCCAAATGATCAATGTCAGCATCATCAAATCATAACCTTAATTATCTGTGTTTTCTCCTCCACAGAAAAAGAAGTCTAAGAGCAAAGAGTCCTGACAAGAACCAGCTTCACCAGCCTGTAGAAGCTCAGGATGAAGCCACGCATAGTTTCTAACCATGACTACATGGGTAGAAAGTCCCAATGAAAAACTACACAAAAACTGACTTTTTAATTTTGCTGCATGTTTTACTTTAAGAGTATTTTTAAAGACTCTGTAACGCGTTTTTAACATGCTCTGTGGATGAGAATTTTAAGATGTTTTGAATGCATTCTCTGAACCCAGACCTTGGATGGAGTTAAAATTTACTCCAAAGCAAATGGGAGAAATTGCTTGAATATATGGGGGGCTTAAGACCTGTAAATATTTACTTCAATGTGATTTCTATAATATATTTATATATTTTCAAATTATGAAAAAAAAAAAACATTTTTTTAAATTGTCAAAATCAGGTGTTTACTTTTTTTTTTTTAGAAAAAGGTTGATTTATTAAAATTTAGGCTGTATGTGAAAAAGGTGAAAACTTTCCGGGTGGACTGGATGTGGATCGAATGGCTGTAATGGAGAAACAAATGTGTCCCTGTTCACTTTTATTGAACTGTTCATATCCATACCTGTGAATCTACAGAAAATTATATAATTCCATTTTTATTTTTTGCAAGGTATCTAAATGTAATTCACCCCTCAGTCTTTGGGGTGAAGATGAGCTGCATCAAGAAGGAAATTCAACTAAAAACTTTGTCAAGTTTGTACGTAATAATGTTATATTAACTTGCAATGACTTGCTTTGGCAACCTCTGACTGAGGGAAAGGCCAAAAGTGCATAGGTTTTTTTTTTTTTTTTTTAGAATTTTTTAGAACATTTTTTCTACAAAGATACAACATTTCAGTGTAAACATCAGTTTTGTATTAAAGTGTTTTTGTCTTCCTTCTAGTGTTGTTTTCTTTAGAGTACATCCACACTAGATTACTTTGAATTCAAAAACTGTATTAATTTAATTGATGCTCTTAACATAGAAGACATTGCAAAAAATAAGATGTAAACATGCAAGTTTCTTTGGCATGACTTTCTTGTCACAACTTCAGGCTTTTCACAGATTAGATTGGTAAAACACTCAAAATATATTAATATTTTAACCCAGTAGTCTACAAAAAATAAACTTTAAATCTGAGGGCATTTATTTAATGTGTTTATAATATTGGATATTTTTCTTTTGTCAAAATCACCACCTCTTGGTTTGTGATAGTTATTTTAAAGAAAGCGACTTTCAATCATTGTTATAGACTCCATTTGTCATCTGATAACACAAGAAAAATTCTATTAATACATGAATATCTGTTTCTAAGGTAAAAAAGGAGCCTAGTGTGAAGTTCAACTGAAGAAACTGGTGCTCTTCTACATCCACCTACGACACTCAGCTTTGAACCACACCTCCACGAAGCCAATCAGTATCCAAAGTTCATCTTGCAAGGCCTCCGATCCACAACTTGTCTGCTCCTGTGCGCAGGCGGTGGATGCGCTGTGTGACTTTGTTTAGATGACCTAGTTTCTACCCACCTCCAGCCCCTCCTCCACCATCTTAGCTAAACTTCATCAGAGTTTCATTACTCCCGGACTCTTACTGCATTTTGCGTCTCATTTCAACCGGTCCGGCCGAAGGTTTCTTCCCAATGGGGAGTTTTTCCTCTCCACTGTCGCTCCATGCTTGTTCATCATGAACAGGTTCTCTCAACCTGTGTTAACCAACTGGACTTCCATCCTCCAGGTCCCTGAGTGAAGCTCTAGTATCAGCTCATGCAATCCACTGGATCTCCCCATAAAATTCAGTAGACCGTCTCGCTAACCAGCAGTCTCCAGACTGACCAACTTCATCCATCTCCACTCCACCACCAGTTTCAGGCCTGGGGGAAATAGCCCTATTCTTTGCTCCTGCACATGCCTATCTATCAAAATTCAACGCTATGTTTCCTGCCGAGATCTGAACACCAAAGACCAAGTAATTGTATCAATAAATTTCTTCTAATTGTCTTTTCTCTTTGTGTGAGTTTTCCAGATTGAAATTCATACTAACTGATTATGCCATATTGAGTTTGCCACTGTGCAAAGATAAAGGAAGTCATAAACTGCAGGTGTAAAAGTCTCTTGTTGTCATCAAACTGTAATGAACAAAGGTGTGTTTTGGGAAGTATATCAGGAGAAAAGTGCACTATTTTGGTCACAAATTTAAACCATGGGGTGTTTTCTTTTTTTGGTGGGCTTTGGTTGGAACTGTTTGCTTTGATCAAATGAAACTATTCATAAAAAGAACTTTCAGATTTAACATAAAAAAAAGGAAGATTAATACTTTACACACAATTTAACAGACAATGGAAGCTGTTAATGCATGGTATTATAACTGAAATACTATATCATCATTGATAAAAGCCTGTTCGACTCTGAAAGTAGATCTTTCAGCAGAATAACTCACAAGCATACGGGCAAAACAGTATGTATCCCATGTCTACATTGGTCCCCAAACCTAAATTCTTTTAAAAATAAAAACACATTTTGGTGAGCTAAAGAGATAAGATGAGACCATGTGGTCTCAGTCTTTATGTTTTAGAGAGGATTGGTTAGACATTCCTCTCTTTGTGTAGTTTATTATAAATTAAGTAAAAGGAGTATCCTACAGGCAAAAGAGGTTACTCAAAATGTATGAAACGCTGGCCCCTACTGGTGACCTGGGGGGAGAATGGGTTTTCTAAAATGCGTGCCCCTTGAGCTAAAAGAGTTAATTAATAAAAGTTTTTAGTTCCATATCCAAAATACCAACACATGTTCCAACTAAGAGCTTATGAAACGTTTTTTCAGGTGTTGTGCAATGTTCCACTCGGCGGCGAAGGTCTTTAAAAGTACGTGAAACAACAGCAGAGGTTCTAATCTTCACACTCCAATCCACAGGGTGGCAGTAAAGCGCACGCCATGTTGTTTACCCACTGCAAAAGGGGATGAAACAACAGAGGAGATTATAATCTTCCACAGGGTGGCAGTAATGAGCACTCCATATTGTTTACTCACCGCTGTAAAATACGAAGAAGAGCTTTAAAGCAGTGACTGCCATGGTTACACTTCTGAACTTAAAGCATCGGCTGTAACGTTTTGTTTATAATTATCTGTGTTTGTTCCCGGTGAAATGTGGAGACTAAACAAAGTTCGCTACAAAACTGGTCAACATGCTGAAAGCCTGGAGGAGTTCAGGCTCAGGAGGAGAGAGAAAGAAAGAGGTGAGTGACAACACTCAGCTGCCAAAGCTGTATGCTAAGAGAATGAAAGGGATGTATATGGAAAAAAAACTTAGTACATATTAACTGATTTTATTTATTTATTTATTTTTAAAGGAAGGCAGTATACACTTACACTTTGGTTCAGTTTTTTTCTGATCTATAGCCCACAGATCTGTAAACAGGATGCTAAAGAGGAAGAATAAAAGCAGTAGCTGCTGTTGATGCTTTTTTTTTTTACTCCTTCATCACCAATATCGCCATCATTAACTTCACATTTCGGTTATTTTTCAATGCTTCTTTTGTCCGTTTAATTATTCAGCTTGAGGATCCATGTGCCTCTGTTTACTTTTTAGAGTTAAACCCTTTAGAAGAACAGGTAGGTTAAAATTAATTAATATGAAACGTTATCTGGAAAAGAAGCGATGCTGAGTCTCAATCATTTACAAGACCAGAGAAGATGCCTCCTGTACAGGGATGAGACACAAGCAGCTTTGAGCTTAGATCTAAACCAAGCAGATCAGCATAGAGCCATCATACCAGCTATGAGGCATAGAGGTGGAGGGACAATGATTAGGTCTTGATTCCTGTGTTCTTCTCTGTGTACTAAATTATTCTAGTGCAGGGGTTCCCAAACATGAGAGTCCCAGTGATTGGCAAACACAGCAGCAGATATACAAGATGAGTGGTGAAATAGAAAATGAATCAGTGGCCTAATCAAAATTTCATACATTAACTTTATCTAAAATGTGGGATTTGGCCTAAAATGATGTTTTTTAAATGTCAATGAAGGTAAAGAAACACTGGAATTTGTGGAACACTCAATTTTTCCTGATAAGTGTGATTCTAGTGTTGAATCATACACTTTTTTTTATACATGGCTTTTTCGGTTTTAACTTATTTACCATATAGCTACCTAATTTAAAGTATGTTCCTGTGAAGTATTACTTGAAATACAAAAAGGGGTGTGTTGGCACTTTCCCTTAACTGTATGTGTGTCTGTTTTCAATAACAAATGAAAATAAGATGTACACACAAAAAGGAAAGAGGTCTTTTGACTGTGAAATAATGACTGTTTTTTAATCCAATATGGGATCACTGGCTAATAGTTTGGCAGAATGAAGCACAATGTCTGATCAGAAACAAAAAATAATACAGGCCTATTTCGGTTCTAGCTATTTTTTGACTGCTTTACTTTTATCTGGAAAGCTGTACACTGTGATGGAGTTCTGGTTGATCTTTAAAACATTGTGGGGTTTATTGATCTTTCTGCTTCAGCACTCAGGCAAGCTCGCAGAGACAGACAACTTGTCAGCAAGAGGCTCCTTCTTAATCAAGATGAAAATGAAGAACATGACACTATGGAGATAACTCCTGGAGAACTGGTAAACCTCACTAGCTTTGACTCGTAGTGTCTGCCTGGTTGGACATTATAAGAAAATTAGGATTTTCTTTTTTCTCAGGATGTGGTCAGCTTGTTCCAGAAGCTGCAGCAAAGCGGCACAGAAAAAGAGGCCTATATAAGAACCCTTAGTAAAGCTCTTAGGGACCCATCAGCTCAACTCATCTTCATCAAGTAGGGCTCATCATCAGTCGCCATAAAATCTGGTTCAGTCTTTTTAACCCCTGATGAACCATATGTTTGTGATCTTGTCTCATCAGGCTAGAGAACAGCATTCACCTGCTTGTCAGCCTCCTCACTGGCTCTGACGCTTGGTGCCGTCTGCAGGCGGTTCGCTGTCTTCATGAGCTGTCCCACTCCCCCCACCCCGGCGTGGCGACCGCCTGTCTTCCTGCCACCCCCTATCTGCTCACATACCTGTCGGGCCAGAGCACCAAGTTCACAGTGGGTGCTCATCCACTCCAGATGGTCATTATTTGGTAGAAGAGTTTTTTTTTATTACAGACTATTTCTAACTTGTACATTTATTTCTGTGCAGGAGCTTTGTCTGTACACACTGGGTAATATATGCCCAGAGAGTGAGGTTGTGAAAGAGAGGCTTCTGGCCCAGGGAATCATACCAGCACTAGGCAGCTGTATACAGGTGCCAGAACAATTTTATTGTTCGTTTTTTTGTTTTTTTTTCACTTAGTTTTTACCATCTAGACTCTCTAGGATCAGAGTTTTAGACTAGAAATGTATCTGATTTCTAAAACATCTGATAACAGAGTAAAGTTGTGACTTAGAAACAGAAACTTTATTGTCATATTGTGTATACAGAGTGTATACCAAACTAAACTTTGATGCATACAGCTTTTCAACAGTGAATGAGCAGCTTACAATGGTGAAATGAACATTTCCATTTATAAATTGCTGCAATGATGAAGAATGTAGACAGCATAGGAGAAAAGGAAACCAGTTTATGGTGCAAAAGACATTGGTATGGAAAAGTTCAGTGCAGTGCAAATAAATAAGGTGAAAAATGCAGTAGAACATTGAGTTGTGTTCTATATAAAGGGATTATAAAAAATCAGCCATGTTGGTAGTGAAAAATATGTTCACAAGTGTGATGCAGAATAGAGTCCTGCACGGGTCGAGTTTTACCAACCCGCACCCGCCCGGACCCGTTAGGATGACTACCGAACCCGACCCGTCACCCTCGGATATCTTCAATTCAAATGCGAACCCGACCCGACCCGTTGATATTTAACCCGCAACCCGACCTGTTAACACATCAAGTAATAGGCTATAGTACGCTGCACTGCAGAACAGCGCCATTAACACTGCAGCAGACGTGTATGCACTGACTGTGGCCTTTTTGGAGGGAAGCCCAGTGCCTGATTGATATAACATTTCTGATGTCCATAACAACACACACGCATAAAAAAACAATCACCAACTACCCGCCCGCACTAAAAAAATATCCGCCCGACCCCGCGTACCCGTTAATTTTTATTTATGTATTTTTCACCCGCAAAAGAGCATTTTGGCGGGTGAGCCGTCGGGGACCCGCGGGTACCCGACCCGTTGCAGGACTCTAATGCAGAGTCTTGATTAGAAGTCCAACAGTTTAACAGTCTGATGACAGCAGGGAATAAGCTGTTGCAGAACCTGCTGGTCCTGCAGCATATGCTGCAAAGCCTCTTCCCAGAGGGCAGCAGCATTTGGCTTCACGTAATACTTTGATCATTTGGTAATTCAGTCCTGATTTGATAAAGTTACCAAAGAAAATGAATACACCAGTTCTCTTCACCACACTGATGCATCATGCTTGATCATTATTTATAGACCCTACATTTGATGGTTTATGAATATGTTACTGTTTTTGGTAATTAATGGTCTTGAACTTTTTTTTTTGTCCAAATCACGTATTAGCTGTAATTGTTTAAGCATGATTTAATTTGCCATTGCAGACCCAGAGACATAACCTGGCAGTGGTGGAAGCTGCAGGGTTCACCCTCTTTCAGCTTCTGCAATCCAAAGATGCAATCCAGAAAGTAATCCCGTCAGTATGCTCAGGGCATCAGCGTTGTGTTATTTCCTGAACAGCCATCCTGCCTGTAAAGTTCTGAAAGACTTTTCTGTTTGCATCCAGGATGGTCCTGGCCTCCAGCTTACCTTCACTGTTGTTATCAGTTTTGACCCCTGACCCTGAGTTTGGGCTGGCTCCAGCTATCGAGTGCGCGTGGTGTTTACACTCCCTCACATCAAGGTGAAAACTTCCTACTAATAAAGCAGTGTCTGTTAGATGTTCACATTTATTCATAATAATTTTTTTATCCGTCTTCTATCTGTATTCATTCATGCATTTAACCAGCACTGAGGATCACTCCCGGCTGTTGGCGGAAGGAGCCTTGAGGCATTGCAGTTCATTATTAGTGTCACTAGGTGGTGCTGTGGGAAAGGAAAACGTTGACCAAGAGGTGGAGCTGGTATGTAAATTCCTAGATTCAGGCCTACGAATGATTTGTCACTGTACTCAATATTTCTTTCATGGTAAAATAATCCTAATTTAGAATTTAGTATTATTATAATTTTTTTTTTATTTCACTGTGCATCAAAATGATATGTGGTTTAGAAAAGATTTTAAGTTTTTCGCAATACAAGCATACATCGTAGTTCATCATAGTTTTAAAATGAAAGTTAAGAAAATCTTTAAAGCTTTTATTATTAAGGGTGTTGTTATTTTTTTATATAACGCTGAGTAAATTGTATCATTTGTAGCTTGTGTGTCCTCTGCTGAGGTGTGTTGGAAACCTCCTGTCTTCCTGCCCTGCTGAAGCTCTCGGCTCTCAGCTTAGGGATGCTCAGCTTGTGGCGCCACTGTGTGGACTTCTTTTTGCCTTCCTGAACACCCAGCCTGCCTTGGCCAGAGAGGCGGCCTGGGTCCTCAACAACCTGACAGGTTTGAGACATCTCCCACCCCAGCCACTGTGGCTATGAGTTACTAGTTCTAAATGCTGCTTGGCTAGAACAGGATCTGTGAGGGACATTAAGTTGGTTTAGGGGCGTATCATCCCAGCAGGCATCGACAAGAACATAGAGCTGCTGCGGGACATGCAGTGATTCTTAGAGCAAAGCTTTTAGACTTAAAGTTGAAAAAAAATTTATTCTGCTAAAGGTTTTTAACATATTGTCACATTACGACCATGAGCTTCAATTTTCATTAGTTGGAGTTAAAGAAAACAAGAATTAATGCATAGTTAAGAAGTTCTAGAAATATATTTTTTATAGATAAATGTCGCTGAATATGTTTTTTTTTTTCTTCTTAAAACCCCCAAATAAAATCCTTTGAAATAAGTTGCCGTCAGAGGTAGCTACCTCAGTGTAATACAATCTCAGTATAACTACAGCCTTTAGGCTGCCAGAAATCATCAGTGGACAGACAGGAACATAGGAGAGAAAAGTTCAAGGTACACGGTAGCCTGTAGAATATTATCCTAAGCTTTGAATTTTTTGCACTGTTCAGTGCCTCTTCCCATATTGGGAATAATATATAGCAACTGCAATCCTAGAGATGCAGTCTAAGGGTTTAAGGAGCTGCAGAGATCCACAGGTCATCTGGGGAAAACGGTTGACATGACAACTGTTAGCTATGCACTCCGCAAATCTGGCCTAAATAAAGCATGGAAAGAAGAAATCTATTGGTGAAAACAGTGGGAGGAGATATTTTGGCTGCTAGTTCACAATGAGGACTACTGTTGACACATGGGGGTGGCAGCGTCATGCTGTGGATAAACTAATCTTCATGGCTAACCCCTGAAAGAGAACATGCAAGGTTCTGCTAAAAGCTGAAACTGAGACAAAGGATCTTCTTCCAGCAGCAGAACAACTCCATAAACTCAAAATGGGCTGCATTGGTGTAAATGGTGGAATGGTGTAAATCAAAAAACTGTTCATACCTTGGGCTGCATGTTATCAGAAAAATATAACTTTCGCTATAGTTGTAGAAAGTTATTTGCTATTTAACCGCATTTTTCTCTTTTCTACACTCAGTTCAATTAATCAAACATTTAGAAGACTAGTTACCTGATACATTATTGCCTTTTGAGAATTACATCTTTTCAATCTTTTTTCTAATTGCACTTCTTCACATGGGGAAGTTTTATTGCTTCTTATTTCTAATAATATCCTGATTTATTATTGTTAAATTAACCCAGTCAAATTCTAAAACCTATATTAATAACAGAATTTTTTCCACACTTTCCTGATTTTAATCGAAAACTAAATCTATTTTCCTTGGTTATTCATATAAAATGTCAATAGAATATGTTGGAGGATGTAAATGTAGTTTGAAAAAATGCTAAATGCCAATAAAAAAAAAGTTGTTGACTAAGTAAAAAAAAAAAAAAACATGTTTGTCAAGATCTGAAAGCGTCCAAAAACCCAAGCAGAGGGTTTTGATGTGTAACAGAAGGAAGATTAACTGTTCTTTTATATTTGAATGTACTAAAATATTTCCATGTTTGTTGGGAAAATGTAAATAACTGTTTAACAAATAATTGCATGATTTGTTTAGAATCAATTAGAAGCACCGAACCCTCTAATTATTAGTAGAATTTAATCTGTCCTCCACATCTCTCTGTCCAGCCCACTCCACAGACTGCTGCTCTGCTCTCTTAACTTTCCATTTGGTGCCGAGATTGATTGACCTTCTGCCCTTTTCTCAAGGCATTAACACAATGGTCTGTGAAAACTGATGTTAGTCATGCTGCTTTTCTTTAACTATAACATGTAACATTGTTGGTGTCTCACTTAGGTATTAAGAGTTTTAGCAAATGTTGCCCACAAGAATAAGGAATTCTGCATCCAGCTGGCGGAGCTTGGACTTCTGTCTGCCCTCACGGCCACTCTAAAAATGGCCGACCAAGACATGGTGACTCTGAGTCTAGAAGTCTTGTTCATGATGGTTGCTAGCTCTCCAATGGTATGTAAAACCATGTAAATGATAAGACCGCCAAAAGTGTAACATTTTTTATATTAAAGATTGTGTTATATTCCCACAGATAGTAGAGCAGTTTGTGAGGCAAGGTGGGCTTTCAGTTTTAGAAGCCATCCAGTACAACAGTGAAGGAGAGGTGAGAAGAAGGGCAACATTCCTCTTGGAGCAGCACATACTTACCTGAAATGGTAAGTAATGCTTTATATATATATATATGTATATGTATATATATATATATATATATATATATATATATATATATATATATATATATATATATATATGTAGGTTTATGCTAGTCACTACTTCCTCCCAACCAATCGCAATCGCGGACCCAGGCACGCCGTCACCAAGCGCCGCCCTCTCAAACCACAACACAGAGCACATGAAGAAGTCGCAGCAAGGAGAGGCGGAGGAAATTGTTCCAAAGAAGGGTTTTTGTAAGCAACTTCAAGGTAATAACTCAGGTTAAAGCAGGAAACTAAGCAGAACCATAACGAGGTCCCAGTAGCACCTCTAGAAGAATAGGGGTGAGAAAAAACAACCCATAGAAATGCTAGGCTAAAGGGTGAGTTGATTTTTGTTTGGGTTTTTGTTCTTGTTGAGTGGAGTTTACATGGTAGCCTAGTCCTACAATCTTTTAATTACCACAAGCTGGTGGTGTACTATTCCCACCCAAATAGGGTATTCTATTTATTTATTTGTTATATTTATTTTGGTCACTTTTCTGGTGACTTTAGTTTATTCTTTGTCAGTATTTAATTACATAACTCAGGTCTCTTAAGTTATTTTTCTTTTAAACAATTCTGTTATGGGTAAAAAAGTTGGTTAAATAAATATTTAATTGGAAGTCTGTGTTTGTGTTCTTTACTAAAATTAAATCATTTAGCAATATCATAAAAAGTCCAGGCAGAGCTGCACATAAAATATGGTTTCAAATCTTTTCAATAATTTTCGATATCGATCAATATACATTTTTTTTTATCGATAAGCTTTTTTTCTATATCGCCCAGCCCTAATATATATATATACGGTATATATATATATATATATATATATATATCTACATGGACAAAGTTTTTGGTTTTCTTCCTTTAATGAAAGAATAAGCCAGGATGGTCACAGAAATAATTAGAATCTGACAAAGTAAAAAATAAATTCTTTGAAAATCAACAAATTAAAGTCAAACATTGTTTTTCATTCATGCTTCAAGAATATGATTTGAAAAAATGGAACAGGTCTGAACAAAAATGATGGTAAGACATGTGCACAAACAACTCTAAAATAAATACTTGTCATCCAATGGCAAACTACAGTGAGCATTATTATTGCTTTCATCAGATTCAGGTCACAGAAATTCAGTTATTCCTGCGACATCCCGGGTTTTTGTTTCATAATACAATGAGTATCAAAAGTTTTGTTGTGTGTTTGTGTGTAGATTTATTTAATATATATGGAGTCTGTTTGATGCCCAAAGCAGGTTGATCCACATTTTAGCAACAGATCTTTGTAACATGTGCTGACTTAAGGAATTTCAACTTAAAGGTACTGTTTTGTGTTGTAGGTGGAAAACTCCCACGTGAATTAACACAAGGACTTCTAGTATAAAATAAACAAAAGGACACAATCAGCTTTTCTTACATTATGTCCTGCTTTACATTGTGCTATCTCTATAATGCTGACAAAATGGTGCACTGAATTTTTTAATGTAAATTTTTAACATCATCTTTAAGAACAATGCATCATTGCATTAAGCACAGCCCACTTTGAAGAGGAAATAATTTTTACATCTCTGGTAGATAGTATATAAGACTGTATATTACTGCAATGAATTTGTGTCAGTGCAGTGTTTCTATTCTCTGTAATTTCAGAACACCTTTGTCTGGCTTGTGTAACATGTATGTGTAATAAATTGCATTATTTAAAAAAATATGTATATTTTGATTTATTGTGTTTCAATCATTTATTTCAGTTCATTTGGATGATTGTGACTTACATTTGGAAATCCCAAATTCAATTTCTAAGAATATTATATAAGCGAATACCTTTTAATATTGAAATGTTTATGAGATGGCAATTTCATCATCTTCACCTTCATTAAAAGTGCTGACTTGACAGTTGTCCAGTGTTCAGTAACTGAGACAGCGAGGGTAATATGGTGATAATAAACTGCAAAAACATAATCCACTGCTTTCAGTTTTAGTCAATGTGAATTATATTTACAAGCAGTGGATAATCGTGATACTATTTACATTTGTTAAAATATTATTTAGCATATTTATGTGGTCATAGTCATAAATGCAACAAGTTGATTTCCAGCCTTTGGTGCTTTGAAATTAAAGGGTTGCCATCAATCAACCAAACTAGAGGAAGGCATTTATAGAGCAGAGATGATAACTGGAAGAAGGAAATATTCATCAAATTTACATTTTGGGAAAAAAGTAATTCTACTTTTCAAAATACAAAAGCATAATTCAGGAATAGTGACCGCTGTTGGGAGAATGAAGCAAGGGAACATTTTATATGCTTTGTTTTGTTTTGCTTCTCTTTTTTTCTAGATATTCAATCACCCGTTAACAAACACATCCACACACTGACATTAGCTAACTTGTGTTTTCCATTTTTGTTACATTGTTTATTAAAGGCAAATCAAACACAAATCATATCCCCTTTGTGCCAACAACTTGAACATATTTTTTTTTTTTTTAAACTCCAATTGCTAAAAAATTAATTCTTATAATCTTTGACCCCCCTGAGATAGCCTCATCTCCAACCGAAACAGAGAAAGTCTACCTCTGTCACTGGTACAGCATCTCCCAGGAAACTCAAGAGCACTCAATGCCCCCATCATGTTAAAAGCTTTATACAGATGCTACTTTTATTCTCCAGGAAGTCCCACTAATTAGCCCAAAGTTCCACTAAGTGGTGGTTATGTCAGTTCTCTTAAGTCTAAACACTAGCCTCATCTAAACCCTGCTGGATATTGATGGAGTATTGTAAACAGGAGTCAATTTATGTACAAATTATGCAAAAACATCAAAGAAGTATGTATACTGTAGAGTAAAAGCATATATACTGTAGATTAGGGACCCATTAAGTCAGAATTTTAGCCAATATGCTGATATTTTACAACTCAACCTGGGGAAGCCCTGATACTGTTTGTCTTTTTTGGGGGGGTTCCCTAGTTTTACTTACACAATGATGTAGATCTTTCCCTCCTGTCCTGTGGAGATATTGCCCATAGCAATTTGGCTATATATTTTTTTTTTAAGATTTTTTTTTTTAAATCCACCCACATTTATATTTCAGCTTTCTCTTGCAGCAGACACACATCAGTTGGCTGCATGTGACCCTGAGAGAGCTTCAGGCATAACCCTGGCTTGTTTATCACCAAAGAGTGTATTTTATATCAGATTGGAATATTGGTGGAATTGCTGTCAGATATTTAGTTTTAAAGCTAATATTTTCTGATACAGATAACATTATGCATTCCTACTGTCATGTGCATGTAAATATTATTCAATGAGCTGACATTTATTTGTTAATGATCCTGTTATTCCTTTATTTTTTGCTGAAATGAATTTATTTATATATTTTCTTCCAGTAGATGTTATCCCCCATCCTTGAAACGGATTCAGGAACTAATTCAATCGTCTACGTTTGTTTTCATGATTGTTTGTGGTGGTGTTTGTGCTTATCTCTAGCATTCATTGGGTGAAGTGTTGCCTAGCCCCTGGCAATATTGTCCCAGTTCATAGTTAAAAAGAATTTGCTCAGAGTTCCATTGACACAAAATGAACTAGCTCACATTCATATTTCACTTTTGTAAAAATGAACTAAGTTCACAAACCAATAAATTAACTAGTTCAAGTTCATTTGGTAAACCACAATCCTACACAATATAACCTCATATTTCAGCCTTTAAATGTGTGATCATAATATATAGAAAAAAATGTAAAATACTTGATTCAGTCAAATTACACAGAACTTTAGAAACATATACAGATACATTCAGATTCTCCTGAAAAGATCTGTGTAAAAAAAAATTCTTAGGTTCCTCATTCAGTAGCAGATATTTCCTAAGATAGCTAAGATGCTTTAACTCGATGTGTCGCTTTAAATTGAATTGGACCTGGCTTAATTATAGACTTGCATAATTCATTTTCAATTTTCAATACTTTCGATCTTGTAGCCTTGAACATCGGCTGTGCTTTCTGTTTTTCATGGGACTTCAGCATACAGTGCACCTCGCCACGGTGTCATCATTCCTCACCATGGGCGGTTCTAGACAGGGGCCAACGGGGGCCAGTGCCCCTGTAGATCATGCCCTGGCCCCTGATATGGCCCCTGTACTGAAGACATAATACTAAAAAGAAATTCTAATGATGATATGCGCTGGAACAGGCATGGTTACTGATAGGTCCTTTGGATCTATTTCATTCTTTTTCTTTACAAATTCTGTTGTACTAATAATTCAAAAACAATAAGGTGATAGCTTCAGTGGTATTGAGATAGGATCCCAGTTTTATCTGCTAATTTTTTTGATGTTTTTTCCACAACACATAAAAAAATGCTCAAATTTTTACAGAGAAATTTGACAGTTTTTCTTGAGTTTTGAATCAAATTTTATAGAAAACGGTAGTTTTAACTTAAATTAAGTCAAAAATATATAAAATTCCTAAATTATAAATGTATATTGACCTCATAAGAAATAGAATTTTTATTGAACCTCATTGAAAATAAAATTTCACTTCATGCAGCTCTCTTAATATATTTGAATCTATTGCCCTGTTTTTTATTTCATGCTTTTCTGTGCCCCCATTAAAACAAACTGGCCCCCTCCTGGCCCCCTAGTACATTTGGTCTAGATCCGCCACTGTTCCTCACCTTCACTAGACATGGATTTACTTTTAACTATCTATATCAGGGAGACTCCCGGAACTTCCAGGAGACTTGGGATGTCTGCATAATATGGAGACAGCTCATTTGTTTTATGAAACTATATATTTAAAAAGTGGATTGCCTCAATAAGTGCTGTTTGTTATGCATTTTAACAATTAATGCTTTTTTTTTAAATAGGTTTTACCTTCTTTACTTTGTACATTTTTTTCCTGTGGGGCCTCGAGTAACAGCAGTGTTTATTTAGGACCTCCCTTTGCTGAAAAAAAAAGTAGAAGATCTCAAATGTCCTCATTCCTCCTGCTGACAAGCAACACCCACTTCCTGTTTTCTTATGCAATTCCTCTTAGATAGAAAGCACGGTGAGTTTGTTTCTTATTATTGTGTTCCTTTTGACTGTTCTGTACCGTTTTGTGAAAGATTTCACTCTCTAACTACAAGTCTGTCCCATGCCTTTTATACTACTTCCATGCTGTCAAAGACGTTACTGGCACAATCAGCTCCTGTTCTCTTCCTCCCACAGCCTCAGACTGCTGTGTAACAGCTTTGCAATGGAGGAAACTGTGCCAGGAGTTGTACAGACCAGCGAGAATCAGAATGCGATGATGAAACACAGCAAACCTCTGCACCGCTTTACCCAAAATCAGCCCAGAAGTTTTGGGGTAAGAAACAGGATGGCTTGGACCTGTTATATGAGTGCACACAGTAAAAACATATGTTTGTATATTTTTTAGATTGTGGTTCTGATGTTTGGGTGTGCTGAGGTTGTGATGGGATTTGTGATGGCTGGTGCTGTTCTACAAAATTCATTCAGCTTATATATTAATTTCTGGCAAGGAACACTGGTAAGCATCTTTTCTTTAAATCCTAAAAAATATATATATATACATGTGATATATATATATATATATATATATATATATATATACATGTGATATATATATATATATATATACATGTGATATATATATATATATATATATATATATATATATATATATATATATATATATAAGGAAGTATACTATATATATATATACAAAACAAACCAAAACTATAAAAGCACTCTGAGGACGCAGACCTCTGCTAAGCAGCAAATTATTCCCCTTATTGTGACTTAAACTTATAGCCAAAACTTGCACATCATCTGGATCATTACTAAATTTGGATGACTTGTACCTTGACATGAGGCGGGCCTCTGTTAATTCAGATCTGTTCATAGCCTTTCAAGTCATCCTTTAACCAGACCGATAACACACACACAAACGTTTCAAAAAACAACCTCTTTGGCAAAGTTTTTTTATGAGCTCTCAGCATTTTTGTGAACACTTACCTCCCTGTGTCATAAGGATATTTAACTACAAAGAAAATGTTATGCACATAGGTCCAGCATTATTTGTTTATGGCTATCAAATTCAAGTAGGAAGTGCTGAGATGCAATTCCTGGGATGGAATTTGCTTCGGTGACCCAGTTTCAGATAAGTTGACCCAGTTACGGTAAATTTATGACTCAAATAGTCTCCTAGCTGATTTGCTAAAACACTTAGATAACTTTTATTGAAATTTCATTTAGTACCGCTTTTCAGACGGTAAATTAACATTTCCTTTCTGTAAAGTGCAGGAGTTATCAAATGTAAACAATGTGGGAGAAAAAAACAAAGTGCAAAAAAACGCATTGATATGGCATTTCAGAGCATTAATATATTCAGTTTTTATGGTTTGGTGTTATCAGTGTGATGCAGAGTCTGTGACATGATATAGTTTTTTTTTTTTAAGCACCTGGTTGAGGCTGTCAATTCATCTAAAATAACTTAATCTATTTCTCATACTTAAAAAATAAACAAATTAAATGACAAATGGCTCACAGATTGTTACAATATTCCAAAGAGTCCAGTTGACTTGTTTGATTCAATAATTTATGTCTTATTCATGAATCAAACCAAAGAAAAAAACTCCCTATCCTTTAGGAATATTTGTGCACAGCTGGCGTTACATCAGCTAGCTTAGAAAACAATGCAACTCACCTGTACAGTACTCTGCACTGTTGATATGTGCCTCTTGAACAGAACAGAAATGGATCCTCTGATTAATTCCTATGATTGTTTTTTTTAAGTTTCTTGTATGTGGAGTCCTGTCAATCTACACTGAATTACATCCATCCAAAAAGACGGTAAGTTTATTAACCTGCACCCCAGTATTTAACTCCATTTATAACTGGTCACAAAGTTATTTTAGGTTAAAATCAGTATGATTTATAATCTGGCTCTACAGGTGACCATATGCCTGGCCATGAGTGTGGTATCTATGTTGGGAATTGTGCTCTCCTTTGGACACAGGATATATTTCTTCATTGATAGCGCATACCCTTACAGTTATCATAATAATGGACCTGATCTTGAGGTGAGCTTTTTGCTGACTATTCTCCTTCAAAGTTTTTGCTATAATCCTTTTCTGTGTGGATAAAATACTAACATAGTAATGCGTGTCTAACTGACTCTTTATTTCAGGAACAGCTTTCTATTGTGGTAGGCATGTTGTTTGGATCCTCTCTGTTTGTATTTGGAGTTCTCGTGTTCTTTGCAGTCATTGCACGTGCTGCGTTAAAATCTACGCATGATCAGGTAATATATTTTTCAGTCTCATGTCATTTAGCGAAATGAAAAGTTACAATTGACCTCTTACTTTCGATATATTAGCCAGAATGGTCACTCAACAGAAACTAACATTTTGGAGAGGCACAGCCAGAGCCCAGATTTGATAGAATAGGAAATTCCTTTATTGTCCCACAATGGGAAAATTCTGGAGTGCAGAAGAAAGAGCTGTGGATGGATCTGAAGATGAGGGTTTTATACTCCCTCCTATATAAACTTAGAGGGGAGTGGCAGCCCAGCGGTTAGGGCATACAGCTTGGAATCCTGAAGTTCTGGGTTCGAACCCCACTACCACAGACTCCCACTCTGGCTCTCTGAGCAAGACCCTTAACCCCTGATTGCTCCCTGGACACCCAGCAATGGCAGCCCACTGCTCTCCAAGAGTATGGGTTGAACGTATAAGTACATTTCTCCAATGTGAGATCAATAAAGTTCAATTAAATTAATTAAAATTAAAACTATACTGGGAGTTAAACCACCAAAGTGCACTGGAAAACATGCACAGAAAAAAGCTGGCTAGCAATTCTAAAAATTGACCCATTGCTGCCAACACATAATTTTTCAGTTCATTTTTAAGAAAGATATTAATAACATTTTATATGTTTTGGAAGAAGGCTGATTCGTATTGTATTGTAACAGAAACAAACTTCTTGGTTGAATGGAAATTATTGCAAAATTTAAACATTAAAATTTTTTCTCAAATATTTTACCTCTTTTTTATGTCTTGTAGTATTTAAATGTGGCTGTAACCAGAGTTTAAATAAAAAAGGTTACACATGACCAATATTAAGACCTCCTGTTAACCTTGAGTCAGTTTAAAGCATCTGGAAGGTAAGCTCCTCAAGAGAAAACACTTGGTGTGAATCTTTTTCTCTACAGATCAATTTAAAGTACAAGAAGAGCGATTTAATCTCACTATGAATTATCCCTGCCTTTGCTGACAAAAGCTGGCGAGTTGTTTATTCATCAAATAACAATGTGATTCAGTTTATTTAAATTCTAATCAAATCATTTTATTCATTTGAACTTCTAATCCAATCCAGTCTTCTAGCCGCTGTAATACTGATATATATAGGCAGAGTTTTAAAATCAAATAAATGCATAGTGTTGCATTTTCCTTCCTAAAAAGCCTAAATTGTTTTACATACCTTTATATCAATTATGTTTAATTGTATACTGTGTATTTAGGACAAAAATGTGATATTAAAAAATAGTGTGGTCTGACATGTTTTCATAGCTGTTCATTACTCTTTCCTGTCTTTGCTTTGTTTGTTTTTTTATCAGGTTATTATTCAGCACATCGCAATGCAGCCACAGAGTGAACGGCTGTCTACCTAGGACCAACTTCTCCAAGCACTGTTTTACCCTCACAAATCAGCACTGTTTTTTTATCAGTTAAATCCTATATTTTAATGTGTCTGAGTGTGTTTGCGTGTTGTATTAGTGTTATGTGCTTCGGGCACATTAGGATTTTTGTCTATTTCTTTTCTTTGTTTTCTTACAGACTTTAGTTGAAGGATCTTTTGTTAATATATTTTGGGATTCTTTTAGCGAGTTAATTACATTAATTTGTGGTGCTGTCGTCAGCCTATAAATAGGCTGGCTTTCAGCATGTTGGGGCGTTCCTTTCCAACTTCGCTTGGACGCCGCTTTTCCACCTGCTTCCACTTGTTCCATCGTGCGCGGTAGTGATGGGCAAGTGAAGCCTCATGAAGCAATGAAGCTTTCCTACGCAAAGTGTTGAAAAAAGTTCATTACTCGATGCTTCATTCATCACTCACTAGTGACATCTGCTGGTGAAACTGTAACAGCCTTGTTACTCAGTTGGATCATACTTCCAAATATTAGGAAATGCAATATTGTCACAAAGTTTTCATCAAACTCATGTTTAGTAAGAGGAGAATCCTATTTAATTGTCATGTTTTAATGATTAAAATGATTTGTAGCCAATCTAATCCTTGACCATCAGTGGTGGTGTTAGGTTTTCTTTTATGTCATGGACTTATTAGACAATGAAGATATATGTTACTTTAATGTATTGAGAACTGAGTGACTGTTGCTGCAGACTCTGTATACTTTGAGCTTGAAACTTGATTCCTTAAAGACAGAATTTGTTTAAAATAATCTCTTCCTAAGAGTTCCAGTTCTGATTCTTAATATTAAGTTACACATAGAGTTTGCCTCTTCTAATGGCTTAGGTTTTGATGGTTTTGGTTTTGATGTGTGATTCTGATGCATCTCCTGATTAAACAAAAGAAAATATAGAAATTTCTGGATTTTAGGTTTAATTGTTTTTATTTAGGAATAGGACTTTTTTCACTGTTTCAGGTTGTGATTGTGATCTGTCATCTCATAATACTCCCACATATGAGAGGTTTTTCTCTTTTTTGACGGCTCCATTTAAACCACTGCTGATGAAAACTGTTCTGCTGATACCAAACCACCTACTACAACCCACGGAGCAACAGGATTCATCGCGCTTTTATTTTGAAAACCGACACGCAAAATGAAGCAGTCACGTGACCAATGCAATACGAGGCCTCGTTTGTTGCCAGTCACGTGGTTTTCAACAAGACAACACAGGCCTCGAAGCGGGGCTTCATTGACACGCCCCCTTATTACTCGGTACAAGCCTCGAAGCCTGGCTTCAGATAGCCCATCACTACTTGTCTTGTCGCTGCGGCCTGCAGCGGACGTTCCAGCCTGCCATGCGGTATTTTTGTTAACTGTTTCTTACTTTTTTCTTGAGGTTTTTGGCCTGGCGGGACCGGTTGTCCTGTTTTTGATTTTTCTTTTGCTTAGGTTATTTTTGGCCTTTAGTCCGGTACTAGTAGGGGCTTCGACGGCCCTGTATAGGGTTGGCCCCCTGCTGTACCGTTTTATTCTGTTTGATCGGCCTGCCAGGTCCAACTTTCTGTTACTTTGGGTTTCTATTTTTACTTTTTGGGGCACGGGATTTGAGGGCCTTTAACTCTTTTTCTCTTCTCAGAAAATCAGAAGAAGGCGAGCAAAGAAAAGTTAAAGAGGAGAAGATTTATTAATAAAAAATCTTTTTTTTAACCCTCATCTTTTGTCTCGTGTCCTCAAATATGTTGTGTCTTTGGTGGACGTAACAATTAGTGTTCACTGGTTCTTTTATACTTTTCATGGAAAACATTTAGTTCTTATCATCAAGCTGAATGCAGGTGGAAATTAGCATCC